TCAAAATGTTGTTCATACGTAAATAAGCCGTCGGTTTTCTGGCTTGCGATTCTGCCATATAAAGTTTGGCCTTGCCCAAACATCTCATTTACACTGCTTGATTAACAAAAATATATAATATTGTAATTGGATCCATTCCATTTTTAATAGAAGTTTTATTCAGCTGGTTCTTGAGGAAAATATGCATGCAATTTGGTTGCTGTTGCAGCATTTTTTTTACCATGTCAGACAGTGAATAGCGTGCGGTAAAGCTCGAAACGAGTTAGAAGCCCTTGATGTGTGTCTGCTCTTTAACTGCCTGCCGCGTGGCATGTTGTGCATTCCTCGGCACCTCTCTTCGCACCGAATAACATTTCCACGTAAACGAATTTGCACATGCAACAGCACCAGGCATTCCATGCATTTTATTTTAACAGTGCACAGAACTGTACAGTACAGTATAGCAATTAGTCATTGCACTGTTCGGACAAATAAACAGAAAAAAAGGATTGATCACGGCTGACTGGCAGTGCAGGAAAACGCGGCGCAGGGCACACACTCAGATGGCAGACCTGCTGATTTATTCATGGGCAAACGTCTGCGGGCTCCACAAGGCTGTCTGAAAAAGTCTCCACGTGACCCATACAAGAGCTCTCATGTGGTCATGGTCAAACAGCGTTCATATGAGGGTTTCCGTGGTATGATATTTCACGATAAATTTCACGATGATTATGACGATCACATTTAGAAAGAACATTGTATACGTGCTAATTAAGCTATGTGGTGTAGGAGACAGCTTCTCGACACCAGCAAGTTGTAATTGGTGCAATTGATGTGCATTTGTGCCGTGATACTTGTGTCCTGTATGGAATTCAGTAAACCCGTGCTCCTGGGTGCCTTGGTTTTCCACGTGCTCCACTCGTTTTCTGTCTAACGTGCTCTCATGTTTATCTTGCAATTCGTTTACAAATAAACAAAATAAATTATACAGGCCTGTCAGAAAATGTGTTCAAACTTCCAAATGCAGTGAGCTTCTTCTATTACTGCTTCATGGTGCTGGTACATGACTTGGATTACACCGTACAGTTGACCTGTTTTGCTGTTATTAAATTGCAATTATTATATTATCAGTATTTAGTGAATTATCATTAAGATAGTATGTGCTAATTACAATTTTCTGAGTGTTAATTACGTGTGAATAATGCAAATAAATATATATTTGTTTTTATTTATTTGCAGCATGCCACATACACCCCCCCCCCCCCACCATAACCAGAGAAGCCACATACTGAATTCGTTTGACTTTGGCAGGTTTCACTCCATTCACTGTTGATCATGTGCAAGTGGGCCTCCCTGTGCTGCTGGCCAGCCCAAGTGTGTGCGTATGTCCGTGTACACAGCTGGTACTTGCAGCCCAGCGTCAGTGCTGTGGAGTTTGGTGAATTGTATGTGTAGCACTGGGATCTTATTAATTCGCTGTTTGTCCCCGAGGGGCTTTTAGTTATTTCAGGGAGCCTGTCTAAAACAAAAAATATTGCTGTGGGGGTGCATATTGAATGCGCAATAAAACGGGTGACTGCGTTTCATGGCGAGATGTTTAAAAGTCCATGTTTATTGACCTTGTTAGAGCTGTCAGTCTGGAAGAACCTGTTTTTTTTAGATAATATCGCTCCCTCTGCTTCTCAAATTATTATTGAGCAGTGCTTGAATTGTTCCTGTTTATCATTATAATATTTATTCGGGGCAGTGCTGTTGCATTTCTTTTTTTACGTTAACTAAAACGAATTGCGCGATGAATGTGAATGAGCAGGGCTCTTACTGTTACGATGTGTTAGCGCTGCAGTGTGGTGACAGATATGTTGGTGTATCTGTGTGTGCATAATAATTCTTCATGCTGTCAATGAGTACAGTTGTTTCTTGGGGAAAATTCTCCAGGAATCCCAACTTTTGTGCCGAATTCAAATCAGGTTTGCAACGAGCAGAGCACATGCCAAGTCGAATATTTCAATGCAATTGTAACCGTAAATTGACTGCAGAAAAAACTGCATTACTGTGCATGCTCTGAATGTCTTGCACGAACAGCATTAAACACAGCTCCCACCGATGCATTATGCATTGCGGCTTTGTATGCCATGGTAGGTATCATTTCTATCTTCAATATTTTATAAAACTACAGTGCAATGCACAATTTAAATTTTGCTAAATGCACACACCAATTGGCATGCCAATTCTTCAGGTCATCTATATATATAAAAAAGGGAAATTTGTGAATGTGTGTCTGTTCATAATGTTTAGCATACTTCCTGACATGCAACAAACTTGAAATTTGGCAGACTGTACACAATGCAAAAAGTATTAAAATAGACTTGGTAGCCAGATGGCATGAGAGATTCGTTCATGAGGCTATCCACATATACAAACACAGAGACAATTTCAACCAAGAAGATGGATTCTGGCTTAGCAATCATTGGAAGGATTTGATAATCCATTTCGGGTCTTAATTGATTGTGTTCACACTTATGGTAATTTTCAGACCGCATTCCATTATCTTCTTCTCCCCCCTCTTCTTTTCTGAACATAGATGGACTCGTCCATCTGACCAACTGTCAAATCGCTGTCCGTGGTGCTGACGTTAAGAAAAAAACGCCACTTTTTTCAAAATTTTCTTGCTGTGGATTTCACACCTGATGATGATTGCTTGTGTTGCAGTCGAAACGTCGTGAGAATTTTATTGTTTTATATATTTTTTATGTTATTATTTCCCTTCTACGTGACTTTACCCAAAGAACCAAGAATATGAATCCCTGCAGTCACGAAAGCTTTAAATCAAAATTTCATTTAATAAGTTAAGAAAATTGTATTTATGTGCTACATTTCCTAATGAAATGAAAATCACACAATAAAACGTGAATTTACATCTTTAATATTACAGCTTCCGTCCTAGGACGGGCTAACAAGCTAGTTTGTCTATAATTGGGTAATTTATGATCACTTCAAAGACATGGTTGCCGCGTTGGTGCAAGGGCCAAGTGTAGCTTATGTGTGGAGCTGGTTTGACCTTGAAGTGGGATGCACGTAGCCGTGGGTCTTGTGCTGACGCACGTCTGCCCCAATTTGTACAAATGGGCAGCACTGAAAATATCGAGCCCAAAGTAATCCATTGATTGCATGATGAAAACTCAGCTCCCTGACATTTTCAGGATTATGAGTGCATGGAAATGCCTTCTGGTAGTTTTATTTGCATAATAGGACCTAAATTTAGCAGTGTAGCCGAAAGGTGTTTTTTGTGTTTTGATATATACCATGAATCACATTTGCATGTCAAATGTCTTAAAATGTTACATGTCATTAAAGTAGGTTATAAACAATCATGGACATGGCACCTGAACAACTTTGTTCCACATAGCCACCAGAGAAATTGGCTGTCAAATTTCCTTATTGTGTACATTTCCAGTTTCAAAGTTCTAACGTGCCATTATTTAGGTATTACAGCGCAGTATTACCTAAGCACTGTATGGGTTCATAAAACGCAACAATGTACATGATGACTGCATAGTGCTCTCAGATGAGGCAGTGGCACACCATGATATCTCATTGCATAGTCGCAGCACCTCTTGCAGTGCAGTGGCTTCTAGAACCATGCTGGACTGTCTAAAGTCTATCCCTGAGTGGAAAATTCACCCGACTTTCTAAGCACTTGACGTCGTGCACCCACATGTACCTCGTACGCACCTCCGATTAGCACGGTTGGTTACAAACTGTTCGAAAGAAGTTAAACGTACATACATACTGATGAAACATTCCAGGTGTTCACAGTCTTAGTCATTGCTATATCAGTTAGGTTTCTATTCCTTCAAATACTATTATGTACATGATATATTATGTACACATGTGTATAAGTGAATCTAAATTTAATGGTGTTTAAAGCCCAAACACTGAGGTTATTGATCTTTAGGACTCGTTTTGTTTTTATTCTGTTAAGAAGTTACGTCAACCTGGAAAGGACAGTTTTCAAAGAGGCTGGTCTTCTCAAGCTAGGCATGGATCTCACATGAGCTGAGACGTCATCTCGGTGGCTCTACCCAATAATGATATCACCATTAAATACGTGATACTAACAAACATCAGTTTGGAACGCGATACCATAGATTATTTATGGCGTTCTTGGTTCTTTCGGTAAAGTCACGTAGATAGAAAACAAAAATCTAAATTAAAAGCAAAAAACCCACGATGTTTCGATCACAACATGAGCGGTCTTCATCAGATGGAGAGAAGAGGGGGCAAGCCTCCAAATGTAGCTGCTTGTAAGAGCTCCAGAGTGAGTGGGCGGGTCAAGGGGCTGCTCAAGAGACGGGGAGAGAGAGGGGGTGGAGCAGAGATGGTGGAAGGAGAGAGGGGTAGAGATGGGAGAAGGGAGGAATTGCACCTCGGTACACCCATCAGAAAATGGGGGGGGGGGGGGAAGGAATGGGGCAGAGCCAGGGGGAGAGAGAGGGGGTGGAGCAGAGATAGGGGGGGGGGGGTAGAGATGGGAGGGGCGTGGGACTTGCACCTCGCTAAGCCCATCCACACTGCTAACGGTAGAGGTTGACAAGGAAACACAAATTCAAGTCATGACCCAAAGTGGTTGATGACATCTTTCTAATGATTGCGGAGTTTAAAACCGTCGTCTCGGTTGAAATTGTGTTTGTGTCTGTATATATGGATGGCTTCGTGAACTAATTTTTGTTGATAGCCCGTCGGCTTGCAAAGTACCATCGTCTTAGAGAAATCAATTTCACGTGAGCCAGCCACAATAAAGTAATGATCAGCGATGGCAGAAGCATTGGTCCTGCTGTGTTTCAGATCTGTGTTGTGTTCACGAACACGGTCAGAGACATATCGTTTAGTTTCCCCAACAAAAGGCCATTTTAGTTCATAAAGTACAGTATCATTTAAAATGATACTGTACTTTATTAACTAAAATGGCCTTTTATCTTTTTGGAAACATAACATCATAGGCATTTTATTTCTGTTCACAGCAAGGAGCACACACCTCTGAGAAGTTTGACCATGTGAGTAACTCACCTGCAGAATACATTCGTGTGTGCCCCACAAGCTTTGATCACGAGTGCCTTCCTGACCTAAATCTCCACATGGGGCTCCGCTGGATTTAGATTCAGCACCAGCCAATGGGCCTCATAATTTGCTCGCGTCAAATAACTTTTCTAATCACTGTCTACCGCAGCAAGGGCATTCCTCCAACCCCTGCGTCTCTTCAGGTGTCAAGTACAATTAGTCATTGACCTCGTGGTCTTTTTGTGGGTTTCAAGGCAAATTTAGCCCCATGATGACGTGCTGCAAAATCGATATCAATTACACATCCTGGTTGTAAACCTTGTGTGTTTGTTCATACTTTCAAGAGTTGAATTTTGGAGATTTACCTGTGTTATTCTGAATTGTTGATTCTTGAATAATTTCCAGGGTTGAATGGCGCTGCATAGATATAAAGGAAATCAGTCGTGGTGTAATCCATCCCAATAATTTGAATGAGGATTATATTTATATATCGAGTTCCAAGGATCAGACTTAATTGGTTTGTACACCAGAGAACACCATGGCTAATTTTACATGGTCGCTCATCAGTGCTCAAATGCAATAATGAGCACTTTGCATTGCCCATCGAAAGTCTTCTTTAATTACCAACTATTCTCAGCCCTGAGGCTGCTCTGCTTATTTTTGGTTTTAACACTGCCACTGTGTATGATCTGCATGGATACATTTACAAGGCGGTCTTTATTGTTCATGACAATAATGAGCGTGAGAACTATCTTGCAGAGATAATGCTGTTGTGCATATAAATATGGTAGCATTATTAGTAATGCAACTAACTTAAATACGTTGTTTAGTGTGGTGCTGTTGAAGATTGCATAACTTAATTTAAAAGTTTTCGAGTTCAAATCCTAATTGGGAATTATTCATTGAGCACATCATCCATCTGGGGTTAATAATATTGAGTTGAGTTGAGCGCTTCCCCAGGGCTTAAGTATGGAGGCACTTGACCTTTGACTTGAAATAATCTGAGAAGTTGACTGAGAAAAAAAAAGCAATGGCAAGCAGCGATGATGAGATCCATTGCCCTGGTAGAAGCACATTTCACACTGGCAGTGAAAAGTTTCATGTAATTTTACTAAAGCAGCTGCATGTCATACACTTGCTCCTGTCCTGTGCATCACGGTCTACCTTGCTGTTGCTGTGCTATCAATATTGTGCCGAACGCTTCCCAACGCAGGTCATGGAGTACCTCAACAAGATGGGTGGGCACGAGTACGTGGGCTTCAGCAATGCCACGTGAGTTCACCTCCCTGCAACCTGTGGCATACTCTCACTCCCCTTTCAATCCACAGTGCGCTCATGTTAGGTCAGCCTTGTGCATTTATCATAGTGATTTGCTGCATTCGCTCAGTATGCAGCTACTCTGCAGGATGGCAACTATGGTCATTTACAAAAAAATTCTGGTTAACTCAGCTCATCATCCCTCCTTGGTCGGTAAAATATGAAACACTCTTGAAAGTCATTTGTGATTGTCCTTTGTAGATATTAGCCCCTGTCATATGAATGTGCAATGTTCACTGCTGTCTCAGAACCGCCATTAACGATGAAGACAATTTGACGCTAACATTTTAGAGTCTATTATGTATACTACTGTACAGCTGCCATCTTGTGTGTGTTTTTATACGCAGCATTATTGTTGGGCCGTCTCATTGGTGTGTGACAGTCAATAGCATTCACCACCTCACCCCGTGCACACTTTTTATGTTTCGCTGTGCCTTGGCAGGTTCCAGTCAGAGAGGGAATCGGGCGATCGCAACTTCGCCATTGGTTACTACCTGAAGGAGAAGAAGGTGAGCTCACTAAAACACACACCTCCTCCCCCGTCCTCTGCTATATAGGAGTCTTACGTCCCATACTTACATCCTTTCACATGCCCACACCGCTGCTGCTCATTCTCTCATTACATGCCTGCACGCTTCATTGGCCAAGGTTCCCGAGGGTTGTGCAGATTCTGTCTTTTTCCAAACCTTAAATATTTATGCCAGTGGGTTAAGGCAGAACCTAGGTATCCACCTTAGCAAGTTTTGTTTTGTCAACGTCATCGTTTTTACTGTTGGGATGCAAGGAAGTCAACATTTAAATATATGTAACCATATACCCTGCATACATATGAATTGCTAAATAAAACATATTTACAATTTATAGTTTGGTTTATTGTCCACCTATTACATTATGTAGATATCATTTTAAGCTTTATGTTTGTGAGCAACTATAGGAAATTATATAGCTCTATAGCTGTGTAACAGTTATGGGTTTTGATGAAGAAATTTACTTTCCTGCAGCCCCTAAACTTATTGGTTAATGATTATCACAGTTGCTACTCATTCACTGTGCTATCATGACCGTAATAAAATATGTTGGTAAATTCCTCCAAGGTCGATCATTTGTTCCAGTGGATTTTGACTGTGCTATTTGACTCTTGCGGTTCGTTCTTGCTCTCAGAGCCTCACAGCTCAGAGCAGACGCTGCCGAGATGTTAACTGCCTGGCCTGGTATGCAGCCACAGGTTGCCATTAGAGAGTACCTATTAAAGTCAGCACAACTGGCATAGCCAACTGTGCTAACCTCCGATTAGCACGCTTGACTACGTACGGTGCAAAAGAAGTTCAACATGTATACGTACAACTACCCAGTACTGATGTTTATACACCTTATCAGGCACGGTACTCATTTAATGCTCAGCTGATCGCAGAGGCCCACAGTGTTTTTGTTTTGCAATCCAAATAAAAATCAGGGAACCAGAATTTTAACAAAGTATGTGAACCACGAGGCCATTTCCGTTCTGTGCGCGCACACACATTGCTTTGTGGGAGTGTTCGGGATCTCTTAGAGTGTTGTATGCAAGGTCTATAACAACATTGTCTTTTTTTCCCAAACCCCAGTGCTTTCCTGAGGGCACAGATCTGATTGGCTGCCTGGATTTCTACTTCCAGGTGGGTGAGCCTGGGTTGCCTGCCCACCTGCATTGTGCTTTGCAGGCACCTTCCTTTTGCCGGTGACTTGGAAATGGATGTCAACTATTAACTAGTTTTAACAATCGAAAGTAGTCATTTTTAAATGTAGCTTGGAAAAATGTAGTAGGCAATGAAGATTAGCATGCAGCATTTTGTCATGTAGCATTGCTGTATTATAGTAAGAGCAGTGCAATGGTCACTTAGCACAAACCTGGATGGAAACAGAATGGTTGTTCTCTTGAGTGTTGCAGAAATGGTTATGGCCCCTGAGTACACAATTTTCAATTGTACTTCTGACAATTTTTGAATACATCATACTAAATTCATTATTTTGTTATTATTTATAAACACTGTATCGATAAGGTAACTAATTAATTTAGCTTGGTCGATTGTGAGTATGGATCTGATTTGGCAAGTATCTTAATTTGAGCTCTGTAAAGTAATTAGTGTCGTAACTGATTACCCAGTTTTTTTTAAAGTAACATGATACTTATTTGATTAGGCACTGAAAGTCACAGTTGAGTACAAAATATATTTCTGCTTAAAGAAGCATTTGGGGTGGCACTCACATCTGTTGGTAGTCCAGAGATGAGAAAGTGGTGAACATTTCACATTCGAATGGCAGGAACCATGCCTCTGTGTGTTTGTCTTTGTGAGGAGAGGTGGCACCGCAGTTATCACACTGCGCTACAAACTTGGTGACCTTCGTTCGATTCCCACTCATGGCCACCAGCACTGGTGATGATTAACTGAACCAGTCCTGGGCTTCCCCTAGGTCGACTCAGCCCAAATTAGTACCTGGTGTGATGTGTAAATATTGCTACTGTGGAGTCTGGTGGCCTGGCGTGGTGCTGGCCACCCGCCCCCTGACGTGCCGTGGCGGCGTGCAAGGCGCTTGCTAACAGTACCTGTTCCAAAAGCTTGTTCAGGCTATAGGGGTGATCTTTTGTCTTTGTTTGTGCATGGGTACTCCAGCTGTGTTCCATCGAGGTGACGTGCGAGTCGGCGAGCGTGATGGCGGCCACGCTAGCCAACGGCGGGATCTGCCCCACCACGGGCGAGCGTGTGATGAGCCCTGAGGCCGTGCGCAACACGCTGAGCCTCATGCACTCGTGTGGCATGTACGACTTCTCCGGGCAGTTCGCCTTCCAGGTGAGTTGTCCGAGTACGCTCGTGGCGCCGGCTTGCGTGTGGTGAGCCACATTTTTAGCCTCTTGGCATTCGATGAACGGTGTCGCTGTTCACTGTTCGGTGTCACTGGTCACTGAATGCCAAGAAGCTCGCACGCTCTTGCCACGAGTAGGTTCTCCCTGATCTGCTTCTGTCGCTTGCGCACACATGCACTCACGGTGGTTAATTTGGTTTCACTTGTTTTTGAGTGAGTGAACACTTGCATGTCTGTGAAACTTTCCTGGCTGGTTTATGACTTTGTCTGCTCCCCTCAACCCTGCTCTTCTGCTCTCACCTTGCCCACCCACTGCCTCCTTTTGGTGCCCTTGTTCTACATGACCTATGTTGCTTGTTAAAGCTTGAATCTATATTTGATTGTTCATGTTGTGTATGGCAAATAATCAAGCTTGGGTCGACCGAAACAATTGTGCAGTGTGTAAAACACACCAATGCCCCCCATATACAAGAAAAACATTTCTTTCAGGATTGGAAGGTCTGATTCACAAGCTGGTGGAGGGCCATGAAGCCTGGCTGGGTATATTGCGTGCGCTCTGCCAAGGCCAAGACGGAGCAATCCGCAAGCTTTAAATGGCATTCCTTCAGCATGTGAATCACGCCATAGACTCTTGTGGAAAGTGCTATTGAGGATGTGGGAAATAGTGCTCATAGCAAGAAGCTACTTATGCTGCCACATGTTGTATACTAACCCTTCTTCCATAATTGAGATTAATAATATTTGATGATTTTTATATATTATCTTTTTACTTGTTTTTTTAATGAGTGAAACACACCAAGCGCAGCAAACTGCAAAACACCAGGTGTTGTTAAGTAATGAACCGGAGGAGGGCTAGGATGGCAGAATTTACAACGTTGCTTCAAGGGAAGATAAGGCCTGATGAACGGGCACATGTCACCCGTGCAGGCGGCAGAGACAGTGGGAGTGTCAGCCAGACATAGTTAAGGCAAAAAGCCCAATCATCCTGCATGGTTTTAAAGTAACGTCAAAATTCGAAATTCAACAACAGAGTAGGCTAAATTATCGATCCTCGCGCTCGCTCAAACTGGAGACCAGGCTGCGAGCTACATCAATGAACCATTGCCCATTTGCTAATCCAATACTGAATGTTAATATTACTGAAGTCAAAACGAATTCTATGACCTCAGCACATGGGCAAATAATAGGGCAGTGTCGACTCAAAGGCAATGGAAGAAAACAGAGGCGCCTTTGTCTAAATCACAACCACAGAAAACCAGGAATCATCACTGATTGTGTGTTCAGGAATTCCGAGCTAGTTAGAACACGTGCAGGGGGGGGAGCTGATGTAAACAACCCTGCGCGTCTGGATGTGAGGGGGCCTTGGACCTGGAATCAAGAATAAACACTCCCAGAGCAGAAGGTTGGCAGGGGGAGAGGTGATTTAAAAGAGGGTTGTATATCTCTCAAGGCACAAGACCCAGCTGAACAACACGGCTGCGGGGGTAGGGTGGGGCAAAGACTGCGGGCTAGGAATGCAACTTCGTGTCAGTAAAGCCCTGACAAACAAGTTAAGTTAAAGACATCACAATACATAATATCGCACATAACATCAATGTTAACGCTATTCACCGTAAACTATATTCCGCTTATATAACCATCCAGGCACCAAGGAATACGAATTCCTAGGATCAAGAAACTTACCCCTTAACCTAAGATATCGGAAATAAATTAATAGTAATAAGTATATGCATGAAAGACAAAAGTAAAACTTATGGAAAAGCCAGGATAACGGGATGAATCACCACCAGGTCGAATATAAATACATAATAAAAAAAACGATGTTAAACCCAGGGTCGGAGAGAAAGGGAGATCCCGGCCGTCTTTGTATCCCCGCAGCGCGGGATAGGAGTGTGTGTACGCTCGGGGAAACACCTACACTTGGGTCGGGAACCACGATGGGAAACGACAGACCTTAGGTTACATACAGAATCATAACTGTGAAATAGTAAGGGACAAATGTTAACTTAAAACTTTTAACCATTTCTTTGTGCGCCGGGTCGGAGAGAGTGTTGCCCCCCTCCAGGTTGTGCAACACGAACAAAGACGCCTATGAGACGATTTGTAACGTCTGTGTTTTGGGTTCATGAAGAAGGCCAGACAAGAGATAAATTGCACCCAGACAGAGAGACGACTTCGAGACAATTTGTAACATCTGGTTGTTTGCTCGTGGGTTTTATGGAGGGAGTTGACAACGGAATATACCGTCAGTGATGCACACAAGGACATACGGACACACACATGGACACACCTGCCTACACGGACAGATCCTGACACAGCAAAAATCGGAAGCCCCGCCTTGTGGGCGGGATCCAGGGGGATTTTTCAGCATAAAGGAACGGATCCTGAACATTGGAAACCAGTGCGACGGGAGGGTCCACTCAGAAGCTCGACCGGGAGGGTCGACTCAGCAGGAGTGCGACGGGAGGGTCCACTCAGAAGCTCGACCGGGAGGGTCGACTCAGGAACGAGTGCGACCAGAGCGGGTCCACTCAGGAGTGCGACCAGAGAGTCGACTCAGGAGCGAGGGCGACCAGCGGGTCGACCCAGGAGCGAGCTCGACCGGGAGGGTCGACTCAGGAGCGAGCTGCGACCAGCGGGTCGGCTCGACTCATCTTCAGCTCGTCAATCTCTGCTGCCGCCGGAGATCTCCGCTGCCGCCGGTGGTGAGCGTCGCGACTTGGCGACGATCCAGCGCTGCACGCTACGAGCGAGTTGTGGGCGCCACCTACCGACCGGGTTCCGAACTGCGACAGCGTATCAACAGCCATCCGACAGGGGAGCGATGGATACGTATGACGCGCACCGCCCCCTCACCACACGACCACCAGGCGTCTGTTTGACCTAAAGAATCGACTCCGAACACTGACTATTCAAGACAACTCTTACCACTCAAACACACTCGAACCCATAAGTCATCCGTGGCTGGGAAGGCATCACAACGAGACCGAGTGGTGGCCTCCGTCGTATAAGAGTATTCTTAATTTTTATCTTTAATATTTAGTGGGCTGTACTCTTAATCGCATAAATTCCCAACAGATCCATCAATACGAACTGATTCTTGGCACCTCCTTCCGCCGAGCCACGCTCACGTGGGGAGTGGATGCCACCGGATCCTTATCAGGTGATCTGGTCCCCAATTAGTAAACTTGGTATAAGATAACGATCTTCGGAAAAGGAGCACCGTCGCAGGCCCTTACTCCGAGCCGTTCTGCTGTCAGATAACCTGCCGATGTATCTGTTGAGATTGGTGCCTTTAAGAATAGTAACTGTTTTGATTGTGTTTTTTTTTTATCGCCGTATAATCTTTCAAGTATCTTTCAGTCATAATCGCCGCACGTACTCGCATCCTCTACAGAATATTCAACTGTTCCGTGACCCAAGGTGTTAACAACGTGATAAGGGTTGCGTATGATCAATAAGGAGTGCGGTACTGCGTGAACAATATTGAGTATAATCATTTATTAACGTTAAGGTTTTCTTAGCATAGTATTTGCACGTTTTAACGACTCTCTCTCTCACTAACAACCATCGCGTTATGCGGGATCCATGTGCCGTTGTCAAAGTGAAATCAGACAATCGTTGATGATACTGTATTGATGCCGTATTGACGTTCCGGGATTGAGAGTTCGCATACTATATCATAGTTAAGGTTGAATTAGTAATAAATTGATCAATACAGAAGTGGTTGTGTGATTCTTTCCTGAAATCTATGCATAAGATCTGCTTCTGCGTTGAGATTTGAACTTGGTGACCTTAATAAACACACTAATACATACTCAGTAAATGTTAAAGCGATAACGGGGTGAACCGGGGTCTGGTTATCATAACGACTTGCGTTATCATAATTACACCCACTCGCATAATTAATACGATTACCTATCGAATTGGCATAATTAAAATGTGCGTAATTACATAATTAACACATTTTCGGATAATTACACATTTGGCCAGATTTCATTTAATTATTATTATTTTCACTGAATATTCATAACCCACATATACAACATAATAATTTCACCCACGCACGCATACAACATAACAAATTTTCATACCCAACATATACAACATAATGGGGGCTCGTCTTCCGGGATCTCTCGCAGACAGTTTATGCATGAATTCAGGAACGAATCACTGATGTGTTAATCAAAGTGTTGTGAACTAACGTTGCCTTGTGATTGTAAACGGGGGTATACAAACAAAACGCGCTCTGAAGGGAGGTACCAGAGTAGCAGAGTATAAAAAAGACAGCTGGGCTGAGATTATTTGCTCGAGTTAAACTGACGCATCCTGTGATACAATTGTTTATATGTGCTCTGAAAGGGAATTCTAGAGTAACTCACGACGCACATGAGATGTTAGAATTAAGATACACTCTTAAGTCTATTAACCACACTACATAATAGAGAGGGCACAGGATCCACAACATTCTGAGTTTGACACACCAACGCATAACACTGATACAGAGTGGACCTCTGAGGAGGAGATGGAATCTATGGAAAAACAATATCGGGAATTTGTATTAAAACGTACTGGACGGACTGCTAGCCAGCAGACGGAGCAGAGAGATATATGGGAGGGGAGCCATACAGAAGATGTTAAGGCCCATAGAAGGAAACTACTTAAGGATGTGATGAAATGTGGCAAAGCCAAACGTGACGTAAAAATTGCAGAAATAGCGAGGGTAGACTCGTATCTCCTCGCACAGACAGACAGAGAAAGATTATGGAATGAGGAAAAATTTGAAAGGGAGAGACAAGAGAAACTGTCCTTAATGGTGCAGGTAGAGCGTCTGCACGCCCTCGTGAGACAGAAAGAATCCGCACTAAATGCACCAGTGAAACACCCAGACGTTGATACACAGAACACATACGGGAGTAACAATTTACCACACTCCGAGCCACGGGGACGTAGCCCAGGGCCAGATCCCACAATGAGTGTGGCTACT